CCGGTGATGCATCCGAGCAGGAACTCTGAGGATTTTGGAATCGTCATTGAAATTGAGGTCCTGTCAGCGCATTTACCCAGTTAGAGGGACTAGCGCTCGCTTCCATTCTCCTTTAAGTGAGGGTTAGGATGTGAGTTATTGAAGTATCGCTACTGCCGGCGTGCTCGTGCTCGGTGTGGTATTTTTTACTGGCGTGACCAAAAACCCGGTGGAGCTGAACAAAAGAAGAACCTGGAGACGGGCTGAGCTGCCGAGATGCCCTTTTCCCCCAACCAAGCGGTGCTGGGAGGTGTCTTGGTGTCCTCCCTGCATTACAAGGGCACCGTCCTTCTCGGGAAGCGGGGCATGGATTGCGGTAGCATGAAGCTGATGAGGTGCGAGCTGCGCTGCTCACCCAGCGCTTTGATCGCTAAACGATTGGGGCGATGGGCTGCGTTTTCTGGCTAGACAGGCGGCGCCAAGTTCGAGCTGAGAGGGCCTGAGGCTCTGCTCCCCCCCAGCCTGGCTCTGAGCCCCGTGGATAGGGACTTCTCGACATTGGCACCCCGTGGCTTTTCCCAGGGAGGGAGAAGGACGGCGGGACTGGCAGGCTGTACCCGAGGTTCCTTATCCCTCATCCCTGCCCCGGCCCCGTGGGTGGGGGTCTCGGGGCTGTTTCGGGCATTGCGCAGAGTGGGACCCCGCTGCTGAGAAGGGGGCGGTGAACCCGCGCTGGCACCGGCAGTCACGGTGTTTTTGGAGGAGCGTTTGCGGGGCTGGGGCTGCCCGTGCCCTGCCCTCCGGGGGAGAGGGGCAACTTTGCACTTCAAGGGGGTCTCCCCGGCCCCGCAGACACGCTGGAGCCAAGGGCTGTAGACATTTGCCAGACGTGTGAACTTTCCTCCTCGCTGGTAGCTGTTATCTCTGCCCGATTCCCACTTTGATGTGTGTTCGCACTTACAAACGACCCCTCCCGGCACGGAGCGCCCATATAAGAGCGGACCCGGCCGAGGGTCACCCAGCCCGACTCAGCCATGGATCAGGTGAATCAGGCCCAGGTCCCTTCGGCAGAGACCAAGCCCAATGGGGGCAGGCCCCACATCTGCTGTGCGCCCCCTCCCCGCGCCCCCAGCTCGCTGGGCAGCCCCACGCTGCTGGTCCGGGCCAAGCCCCGCCGGAGCGGCCCCGAGCCGGGCCAGCCCGCCGACAGCGAGCCCTGCGAGGCCGAGCCGAGCCGGGACCACCCCCGGGATGGCAGCGAGCCCTGCCCTTCGGACACTGGTGCGTGAGGAGGGAGAGTGGGTGGGAGGCCGAGAGATAAGGGCAGCGGGCTGGGAACACGCCGGGATCTCGCCGGCGGCACGGCCTGGCAGGGCTGAGGGGCGGCGGAGGCGCTGTCCAGACGGGCAGGGGCCTCACCGCCGCTCCTCCTCCTCCTGCAGCCCCCGATGGCGGCTGGCTCAGCGCCGACGAGTCCTCGGGCTACGAGAGCGAGAGCGCGGGCGCGGAGCGCGGCGGGGCCGCGGCGGCGGGCGGGGGCCGCGGGCGGCAGCGGCGGGCGCGCACCGCCTTCACCTCGGAGCAGGTCTGCCGCCTGGAGAAAACCTTCCAGAGACACAAGTACCTCGGAGCCTCGGAGCGCAGGAAGCTGGCGGCTGCCTTGCAGCTCTCGGAGATCCAGGTGAGTCCCGCAGGAAGCGGATCCTTCCCGGCCCCGCTTGGCAGGAGCAGCCAGGGTCGGCGGTTCCACATCTGTCTTTACTGCGATGTACAGACCTTTGAGTTTAATAGGAGCTGTGGGATCTCTCGGGGATTAACGAGTTATCACTCCGGGAAATTTGCGGCACTTTCTATAGGGAAGCCATCAAGGTATTTTTATTTCTTAGTGGGATAAACTGTCCTGGATATACGGCGATCTGCGTGTAGACCATGCAGAGCTCAAAACTGGTCTTAAAGACTCTAATTGATGTTTGTAAAATCCCTGGACTCAGCCACTCTCTCCTCTACTTCCCGCAGATCTTCTGCCTTTTGCTAAGTAGGGCAAAAGCATCAGTCCCTCTGTGTCAATTCCATCTGAAGCAACAAGGCAAAAGCAGCTGAGATACAGTTGTTTATAGTTTGCACATCATCCTTAGGCAAAGTCCCTGATTTGTCTCCTGCATCTCCCCCTTCTTTTTGTTGCCTAGATTAAGACCTGGTTTCAGAACCGGAGGATGAAACTGAAGCGACAGATCCAGGATCACCAGCACAGCCTCGTGTCCCCCGTTCCGTTCCACAGCTACGCCCCGGGGCCCTCCCCAGCTCTGTTTCAGGATGGTCTCCACTACCCCTTTGCTGCCCAGCACCAGAGACTCCTGCCTTTCACCCCGATGCCTGCTGTGCAGTTCAGCTTCTCCTTTCCCAGATATGACGCATCGCAAAGCACCTACCACTTAATGGCAAATGAACTGCCCTACTACCATCAGCACCTGCTTCCTCATCCTTCTGTCCATCCGGTTCTTCAGAACAAAATGGACAGGCAATGCCACCCAGTATATGCATTATAGTGATAGAGAAGTGTTTTATACTGTAATGTATTTCATGCTCAGAATTTCTTGCCTGATTTGAAAGAATGTCTTTATTAAGTTAAATATGAGAATTAATACTTTTATATTTGATAATATTAAATATTAATTAATCTAGTCTAATATGTTATGTAAATGGTTTTCATTGTTCCCCCTAGTTTTTTCATAAATGTGTTTATATATATTAATAAAACTTGAACAGGTTTATATGTGTCAACTCTATAAAATAGATTACACTTGTGCAATGCAAACTGCAGTGGTCACTTGTCCTCCTGTGTAAAGAAAATGGATTTAATGGTTAAACACATTTTGTCTGACTTTCCTACTGTCCCACCGAGATTGTCTGTCTGTTGGTGAGTGTTTGGTAGCCTGGACAGAGGCAACTGCACCCAGTTGCTCTGCGCTGTGCTGTGAGCTAAGTACATCCTCCAGAGGAAGGGTAAATTGTCAGTGAGTTTCTCCTCTGGATATAAATCAAATGTTGCAAGTGCAGCCCCATCTTCCATGTGAAGGCAGCAGTGGTAATGATATTTATTAGGTCAGCATGTCTTTAAACAGGAATTAACAGATCAGGCCTTCATTGTGGATTTTTAAAGTTTTACAACTGCCAAAACAAATGCTAGGCCAAAAAATTTTGGGCATAATTGTGTCTGGTTCAAAGCCATATCATCTGGGATTGTAACCTGAAAATTTGGCCTTTGTCTCACCGCTAGAAAACAATTATAATTGCGTACTCGGCAATTTGCACTTTAGGCAATTTGACCTGTTTCCTCTAAACCTAGAAAATTTTGCTTTAGTAGTCCTGGAAGTTGTTGGGTTTTTTTACTTCTTCCTGGGAGTGGTGTTCACTCCTAAAAGTGCTTTCTTAACACTTATTTCTTAATCTAGATTTAAAGAAGTTTTGTTAATTCACCTGTAAGGCCTTTTAAATACATTACTTGATTGTTGCACTGTAGTCAAAATTTCCACCCTCCGCCCTCAAATTCAGTGAGTCATCATGAGTTTCGATGTAACAGCCATGGGGCTTCTCACCTGTGAAAAAATGCTTGAAAGGGGTAAAAGGAGTTTTCTGTGAAATGTGTTCCAAGTGACCTGGAAGTGCCAGGCCGTCCCTTCAGCTGCCTGGCTGTGTCAGGACCGGCGCTGCCCTGGGGGGGCACAGAGGAGGAGTGTGGTGGGGGAAATTCCTTCGGGTGCCTCCCAGCTTCCCCCCCTCCCTTTTGGCTGCCAAACGCGATGGAGGGAGGCGCTGGGGGAGGGTACACGGACATGGAGGGTGGCGGGAGAAGGGAGAGGGAATGCATGGCACAAAGCCTGACATGAACGCACCGCACAAAACTGTGGCAGGCCCCTTTTTTTCTGCCTTGTGAGCAGAGGGAGGGAGGGTTTGGGTTTCTTTCTTGGTGGTGGTGTTTTTGGGTTTTTTTTGGTTTTTTTTTGGGTTTTTTTGTGTTTTTTCTCTCTTTACAGCTGCAGAGTAGTCTAACTATCACCTAGACAGCAAGTTAAGATTGGTCTGGATTGGGGAAGAAGATGTAGTCAGACCTGCTGCAGCTGCTTCATGCTGATGTAAGGTCTCTGGTTTCTCATTGTATAAAGGCTTGGCTTTGGTACTTTCCATAAAACTTGCTCTGTGACTTTTAGGAAATCCCTAAGTGTTCCTAAAATCAAGCCTTAACTTATTCTGCAGTTTAAAAATTAGGGAGGCTATCAAGTTACAGCTGCAACTTTTGGAAGTAAGAAGTGAAATATTTTCTTTTTCAGTGTCCCAAGAGACCTGAATTGGTGAACAATTCGTTTTCATAATCAGATTTAAATTGCATGTATGCTTGACATTGGCATCAACATGCATGCTTGCCTCATAATTCCTTAGTGTTATCTCTCTTTTAATGCATAAATGCAACATGTCCATCAAAAAACAGGTGAGACCACTTGAAGAATGGTCCAGAATATACACATAAAAGAGAATACTAGGCAACTTGTTCGGTTTTGTTCATAGCATTTTTACCTTTGGTAACATTTTTATTTAAATGCACTTGGCTGTAGCTCACAAATGTTTTCTTAAAAACCCCCACTCAGGTAGAATGGACAATGTTTTTACCACCATTGCCTATTAAAAAACATAGTTACTACATAAATTTCAGTGTATACAGCACTCCACTTTTTGAGTGGATATCCCCACATGATTGTAGGTTATTTTCTGAAAACTTTTAGATAAGAAAATTTATATAGAAATTTCTATACAGCATGACGACTACTGTAGAAATAAGATTTCATGTTCTCTGCTTCCACTCTCAGTATAACTTCTCTAATATGAATAAATTATTTTGTCCTCTAATTGAACTTTTTTATGTAAAGAAAATAATTCAAAGAATCTTTATCTAATATAACAAAATAAATAGTTACTCTTAGAGATATTTGGCACGTTTTTGAGATTACAGATAATCGTTTACATTTTTAACAGGAGGGAAGATCTGGTTGGAACATCAGTCTTTTATGTTCAGTAGTTAGAGTCACTGCTGGAAACACAGAAGAGCAACAAGACAATCCTGGCCCGGGAGGCAACAGTAAAGCTGGACTTGGCAAAACTGGCTGAAGAGACTGAGCTGGAACAGAAGGTAACAGCAAGGCAGGGTTTGGCACCGCCGGGTGAAGGGAAGCAGCAGAGGTAGCAGGGACATTGACATCCGCCCCATGAGGATAGCTGGATGCAGCTGTGTCTGGGTAACAATGACAGGGCAAAAACAAGCCCGAGAAAAGAGCTTCGATCCTGGCATCTTGAGTCTGGCGTTTGAACTTCATACGGCGATTCTGAAACCAGGTTTTTATCTGAGGATAGGAAAAAAGATTCAAGAACCAAACCCCTTATCCCTTTTCCATATAGTAATTGTCAAATTGGAAAGACTGACTTATTGTCATTCTGTCAAAAAACAGAATGCATTAACAGTAAAGGTGTAGGGCTAATAACGTTGGCCTATATTTAATGCAGAGTAATTGTGCTGGCATGATGAAGAATTGAGCAGTGAACACTCCATGATGCACGGCAAGCCAATACTCAGATATGGACCATGGCTGTAATGCAAGACTCGTGCAGTGGGGATAAAGGGCTGGGTAGGGGTGGTTCTGTTCAAAAACCCTGCAATGCCCCTGCCAAGTAGATACACAACCATAACAAAGTTGACCTGAAAACTGAGGTTCTGGAGGTCACAAAAGTACCTTTACCCCCAGTAAAATTTCAGCTTTAGAACTTGCATTCACAGTTTTCCATTTGCCCCTTGTCCCTGGGGCACTCGGAGCTGAGCCTGGGCTCTCAGTTTGCCCCAGCCCCGTTTGCTGCCAGCGGGGCGAGGCTGGCGGGCGGCCCGGGCCGCCGCCCCTGCGGGAGCTGTCACTGTCACTGTCCCCATCACTGTCACTGTCAGCGCCGCGTCCCCCGGTGACCGTGAGGTGCCTCCCAGCCCCGTGTCCCGCTCGGGCGGAGGGCGAGGCGGCGCTCACCTGGCTCTGGGAGAGGTTCAGCACGGTGGCCAAGCGCCGCTTCTCGCCGGCGCCGATGTAGCGCTGCTCGCAGAAGCTGCGCTCCAGCTCCCGCAGCTGCGCGGCCGAGAACTTGGTGCGGGGCCGCCCGGGCGCGGCTCCCGCCGGCCCCGCTGCGAGCCCGGGGCGCTCCGCGGCCTCCCGCTCCCGGGGCGACTCTGCGGGGACGGGTGGGGGCGTCAGAAGGGGGGACCCTTCGGGGGACCCTTGGAGGGACCGAAAGCGCCGCGGCTCCGCGGGGGGACCCGGGGGGCACGGCCGGCACTCACCGGGCAGCTCCCGGGCTCCGCCGCGGCTGCTCTGCGCCAGCCACTCCACCGAGAAGGGCCCCTTGTCCATGCCCCCAGCCCTGCCGGCCCTCGGTGCCCGGTGGAGCCGCCCCGGACGCCGGAGCAAACATTTAAAGCGCCGTCCCCGGCGTGGTTTGAAAAGGCCCAAAGCATCAAATGAGGCCGGGGACAAAGGACCTCATTGAGACGCGCTTTAATCTCCCCTTTCAGGTGATTGTTACATCCGCCTAATCTCCGAGCGCAGCAGCTTGCAGAACTCAAGGCTGCCTGACCTGGCGCCAAGTTCAGCGCGGAGTCGTCTCACCACGTAGGTGCTGGGAATTGCATCACGGCCTGGGCTTCTTCACGCTGCCACTGCTGCCCTCGGCCCCCGTGGTTTCCAGTCTCTATCTTCTGCTATGAAGGACGAGGATTCAGAAGGGACTGATAACAAAGAAGGACAGAGAGAAGCCCCTTTTATGAGTCTTATACCCAAATTTTGCCACCCTCTGGCCTGTTTGATGCAAGGCTTGAAAGAACCCCCTTGCGTATCATCAGCAAAAGAAGTAGGGACGTGAGGTAGGAACAAGTAAGTAGTCATCTTCAGATAGAAATCTTGAAGAAATCTAGAAGAAACACTGATACAGTATCTTATCAATATGCCTGTGAGCAGCTCAGTGCTCTATGCTAAGTCTGAGTGGTAGAGGTTGGAGTTACTTGGAAAGTGCAGGGTTAACTATTTTTGGTGCTGTCCACGAGGCAGAGTGCTGCAGTCAGGACTCTCACCTTCCTCTGAAGTCTTAGACTTGTTGACTTCAGTTTATGTAGAATCAGAGATTTTAAACAGTCTTCCGGGAGAGAATGGTTGAAGCTGGAGACAGATATTTGCATAGCAATTTGTTAGGTCATTTTCAGAAAACAGAGTGGGAAATTTTGAATAATTTCAGTTCATGCTTATGAATTTATTTAAGAATAAGATTAAAGAATGAGCAGTTATATGTCAGGACATTGGACAGGATGGGAAACACTGAGAAAATTACTAGTTCACTCGAATTTATCTGTTCATGTCTTAAAACACCATCTCCTTTCCCTGCATCCCAAGAAAGAAATGTGTGCATTTCAAAGTAAACAGTTCTGATGTTCTTATGAAGTAGATCAAAGAAGAGGAGTGTAAACTCTGTTCAGAGGCAGTCTGTTCAAGGATGATTCAGATAAGGGTGAGAAAAGAATCACTTTTACGGTCTGAAGTGGGCCTGCGATGGCACAGTCCTTATCCCCAGCAAACAGGGCTAACACATTTACAGGTTGTTTCAGTAAACAGTCACCGCTGCTGGAGTTTATACAGTCAGAGATAATGAAGCGGCTTCCACGGAGCGGAACATGTTTGAGACAACGTGCTAATCCTTAAACTTCAAAGAAATTCATGTCACCTTTTACGAAGGGTGATGCGTTTATAGTGAGATGGCATAAGTGAGATAATGCTACACTCGCAGCTCTGTCTCTTCTTAGGTTTTCCATATTTCTCAGGCAGGAATATCATTTCCTCCCTTAAAACACAATGCAATTTTGTTAACTATGCTGAAGCATGACACACGTAAGAAATTTTTAGACTCTGATTTTGAATAGTCTTCATATACACATTCATCTGCTTTTATAAAGTCTTTTACTCTTCATGTAGTAAAAAGAAAAAAAAAAACCCACCATCTCTTGAATATCTACCTTGAGCAGTCTTGCTTGGTTTTGTTGTTTTTATGCTTGTTTGTTTTTTTTTTTTTAATGAACATGACACTTTCAGTAGGTGACTACATAGGCTTCCAGGTAAAGCAATGACTTGGCAGACCTGACACTTATGTTTTAGAGAAAAGCTCTTCTGACTTAGCTAACAGGGACGGTGGTTGCATTGTCTTCATGTGCTTTTGATTCTGCCCACGGTAATTTGCTGCTCTAAAAAGCAATTAAGATGCAAGTTGAAAGTTACAGCTTTTCTTTTTACTAAAAACCAATCCAAACTCACCAACACCACTGCCCCACCGCCCTCTTCGTTTCCATAAGGTTATAGTAAAAATTACTGGGAAATGATTCAATGTTCAGGACGATTTTTCTGAAAAGGACCATTCCAAATAATGGACCATTATTTTTTAATTAGCCTGTTTCCTAGTCCTATAACCCTGCAAATTAATCCTGGAGAAAGTAAAGTTTGGTCTGGAAAAATGAGTAAGTACTAGACAGTCTCTGAAATGAATAATTGTAATTTTAGTGTTACAGGTAACAACATCTAACCAGAAGGATTAGCAAGATATGGTTCCTTTGCCGTATTAATGTTTCTAGTTGTTGATTATTATTGTGCGTATTTTAATAGATGAACAGATGTCTTGAAACAGTAAAGTTTTTGCCACTATGATGGCAGTTTTTAAATTTGTATTTTAGTGTTAATGAAACCTGTTTATTTGTGGGTATTTTGGTTTTAATCCTGCAATGAATCGATCATGTTATTATCTGACTATATTGTAATAATCGATTGTACAATTTCAGGAGAAAAGCCCGAATTTCAAAAGACTCAGGAAGTTAATACAATATTTTATTTACCTCTAAGGAGAGCAGTCTTTCAGACTATGCTTTAGATTGTGAGGCTTCCTTCTTGTTTCATGCAGAAAACCTTGTACAGACATACAATGAAAGTGACTCTGGTGGCTGTTTTAGACATTGTCTCTTTTATTAGAAACAGAAATAGATGATCTAATGACTAAACTGTCCTGTGCTGACATGTGACTGCACTAAAGAAGATGTACAGTGTTCTATTATGTTAGAAAACCAATATGCATTTTATTGTGTTTTTAATGGGTTTTGATCTTGTTAGTGTGATTATTTTCCCCTCTAAGATCTTTCTATTATGTTTCCTTTGGTTGATATTTAAAATTTAGATCCTTGGGGTGTTGTGGTGTGTGATTGATTGATTTTGAGGAGGCAGTATCCTAAATAACAACAAGTTTTATTTTTGCCCATTGTCATTTGACCTGCGATGTTAGAACTAAACAGGAAGCTCAACAAAACTAGAAGTATCAGTGGCTGTGAAGGTGATAAACACCAGCAAAAATATGCTTGAAACATATTATTTTACAGTATGCTACTGTTGATGCCGCGGAGTGTTATTGTGATGATTTACATAAGATACAGATCGTGGCTTGAGGCCAAGCTCCCGTTAAAAGGACTTTGGTGGAGTGATTGGATGTCATAAGCGACCATCACCTGAGAGCAATTACAAGTCAAAAGGTAATTGTCGTGTGTTTCTGGTTAGCAATTAACATTCGTCAGAACCTGTGATGAAACATTTATCCCATTTTCCATTGATCATCAGCGCTATTTATGAACACGTGGGCTACAAAATCCATGATGACTCAAAGTTTGAATCTAAATGGTAAGCTGTAAGTAAGTGTAGTGGCGGTGCCACTGATCCACATTTTACTGCTGCGATTTAATGACAGTTTTTCTTGACAGAGCCCTCAGTGTGAACATCTGGTGACACCTACAGCTGTGCTTTCTGTTGCCTATTTAAGTGTCTGTTTGAAATTACTTTATGATGTGGTTCATAGTTGCTAATGTTTTAATCATTGCATCAATTGTCAAGATAATTTCCGGCTAAGCAACAATTAATCTTCTGGTGTTGGTTTGAGCACAGAAAATATTGCTGCATAGATGTAGTAGGATTTGTCAGTATGCTAGCAATGAAAAACTCTGGAAACAGGTTACTCAGTTATTTTGATAAATATTAAAGACATTAATCAGATAAAAAGTTACAAAAGACATTAATTTCTATCTCATGCAAAGGACATGCCTATCTAAATGAAACACGTTGAATAGAACTGCCAGCTCTGTTGTTGGGAGGAATTCACTCCTGCTTCTGTCTGCTGGCCCTGCTTTTCCTCATGTGCTCTGAGTTTAGGTGGCCCTCTGATCTATCAGGGAGTCCATTTGGGTTTCTAAGCCAGCAGGAAAAGGGGGAAAGAGAAAAAGAAAAGAAAATTGTTTTTTTTAACAGTTTGGAGATATACCCACTTACTGAAAAGCTGGATGAGCTCTTTAACTTGCACAGGGCAATGCTTGAAGCAGAAGGGGGAAGACGAAGAACCAGGATGATTCACTCAGTAGTGAGTAGATTTGTTGCTTTATATGAGCAAATGCAGGTGTCTACAGTCTGCGGATCAGTATAATTCCTCACTTTCTCCAGATGGAGAGACTAAGGTAGAACAAGGTCAGAACTGGAATGATGTGCAGATAGAGATGTAACTCACTAGTAAATAAATACTGATTCTTGAATGCAAGTTCTACTTCCAGGGCTTCCTTTTTGCCGCCTTTTCTGGCAGTTTGCCGCGTGCCCCAGCGTGGCTCCGGTGCTATCCCAGCGCGGCTCCAGCCGGGGTCGCTCGGTGGCCGCCCCGGTCCCGCTGCAGCCCCGAGGGGCCGGGCCGGGCTCGGTCTCCGCTCGGGCAGCGCCGCCCGCCGGGAGAGCCGCGGTCCCTGCGCCGGGAAGGGCCGTTCTTCCTGAATTAGCCACACATAATGGACATCATCTTCTCCCCCCCGCTCCCTTTAATGCAAAACAATGCTTATTTTGTAGAATTAACATTCAAATACTGCTTACTCTTATTACTCTTACATATTATACAGCATGGAGAAAAAAAAAGGCAAGGAGATTTTGTTTAAAACCTTGACCCATCTAATGGAAAATCTGCCTCTGTTTGCTGTGTCACTAGGCTTTATTCACTGTAAATTTATTTCTTTTTTTCCTTGCTTCACTTGATCTCCAGGTTCTCTTACCTATAGCTATGAGGCTTTGGTCCTGCAGAATGGGGAAGAAGTATGGGGGGAAAAGTAATAGTTTACTGGACTGAAAATCCAGTCCACATTGTAAGGCATTTTCTACGTACTAGATTTAAGTTTGAGTAATGTTAGTATGTTTTTACTTTTAAGCTCGTGGTAGTTTGCATAATAGTTACAAAGATTGCTTTTAAAAATAAATAAATAAATCCACAGCGTGGATGCATATCAAAGCTGACTATCAATAATGGTAAA